TCTGGATACGCGACTTATGTATCCATCTCTGAAATTCAGTCTGTCTTGACTGTCAAGGTTTAAGGCTGGGATAGCCATTAAACTCCAACACATACTCTTTGTGATCCCACCACCACCCTCCCATGGGAGGATAACAGAAGAACCAGGTGGAGAGATTCTGAGGTAGTAAATAAATGGTTTAACGAAACAGAAAGTAATACTAACGATAAAGATGTTACATAAAGATAGTCACGCATTCTGGATGGCAGCTAGGTCCTGAGCAGTACATGGGAGCTGCTGAGTCCAGAGCCCCAATGACAGTCCCGTCCCCCCCCCCAAAACCCCAGCAAAAACAAACAAACAAAAAAAAACATGGAATGGGAAAAGTCAGAATGGCCACACCGCTCCCATCTAGGGAAGCAGAAGACAACCTGTTCCGACACACAGTGCTCCTCTGCAGCGTGAGAACAGGAGGCAGGAGCACCAGCAGCCCAGGGAGAGATGACAAACAGCCCCTAGCAACCCTCCCAGCACAACAAGTATTAAAAAACCCAGGGCTTGTCTTAGGGGCCCTTTTATACTGATCACATGGGAAGGAACACTGTGATGGATTCACTTGGGTCATCCGACCCATACTCTCCTCCCCACAAGCACAGCTCCCCCTCTCCCACTGTGATTGCTGTGGGTGCCAGGAGCCCCAGAGAACTTCTGTCCTTTTAGACCAGGACAACAGTATATTTTTGATAGACATAACATGAAGCACTTCCTAGTGGAATTTTTCTTCACAGAGATATTAACATTTTCACTGAGAGTTTAGAAGCTGGCGTTTAGAAGCTGGTATTAGTAGCTGATACTAACCTAGTGTATTTTCTTAAATCTTCTAATAAAATAGAATTTCTGGAAAAAGTACCCCAGAGGTCATGGGATGGGTGTGCAGTACAGAAATATTGTAATCTCTCCTGTTAAACTCATGAAATAATGGAAAGGAATTTTCCCTCAGCGGGGATTGACTTGGTCCCACAAAAAAACAAAGCCTTATAATTGAATTAATGAAGGACAAGACCCCAGGTGAGGAAAACCTATGGCTGTTTTCTCTTTACATATCTCAATTTTTTTTCTTTCAGTTTCTATGCCTGTACACCAAAGCCTCTAGTCCATTTCACTGAAGAAATAAGGCAGCACATTTTTATTCAAATAAAATAAAGCCAGAAGGGTGATGTGAGGACAATGTCCACCCAATCCAGTCTCTTGCCCTACGAGAAATGTGTTCTTTTAGATGTGGATGAAAAGAATTCTTCCTCACATTTAACCTTGGCATTTCATGTACATCTTTACCTGTGGTTTTACTTAGCTGCAGCTATGTCCTACCCTATTAGATATAATGCAAGACAAGTGCTGTGCCTGCTTTGGAGTTTCTAAGGGTTTCCGACTTCTCTAGAATAAAGCAAACTAAAATATATCTCACCATTTCTGTGACTCATTGATCTCAGTTGATCTTTTTGTTCTTCAGATTTTCCTGAAGAAAGATGAAAACTCCTATTTTTCTTCAAAGTCAATGGCCCCTAAAACTGAACTATTCAGGGGAACAGTCAATCCAGCTTCTCCATGTTAAAATATAGCTAGCTTTCATTATTAAAAAAATACTTTCTTTTAAAAAGCCTTTTTATAGAGTCTCATTGCAACTTCTACATACCTAGTTAAATGGTTCAAAATCTCTATGTAAATAGTTTTCAAAATTCACAGAGGTTCAAGAAGTACAAGATCAAGTCTATGTAAAACTGAAATATCATTATGTCAATTTTAAAATTCCACAGGATCAATACTGTATTAAATTCTATTGCTGTTTTCCACAAAAGCTTAGTGAAGACATTTTTTATGTTTGCATATATGATGACATACAGTGTTATCCACCAGTACAAAACAGGGTATACAATGAATAAACCAAACAAGAACTTAGTTTTCTTATTAAATGTCTGATTTGTCCATAGATGTCAACGGCAAGAATAATTTATGTGACTGAGGAAGGAGCAAGACCTAAGTGGCCGGTAATGTGCCCTTCAGCTTCACATTCACTCACTTCTGTTCAGTTAAAACACTTTTCCATTGCTGTGACACTTTTAAAGCATTTATTCTGTAAATTAATAGTCAGCTTTCATGCAAACAGTCCATTAGCATTAATCATATGAGTCTCACATGATACATTGACAAAAAAGTGTTTGCAATATTTCTGTTGTCCATGACAAATTAGTTGATAAAAAAAAAAGAAAAATAACAATTGAAAAGAAAGGTGAGAATAACTGATCTCTAGACACCACTTCATTTCTCTTCTGAAATACAAAAAGCCACATTCTATGTAGTGTAAATATGGAGAACGGCATTTCTGTTGATCAAAATATGAGTCTTTCACTACTTTATCACTGCCCCTATTGCATAAATTAACATTTGCACTTCCTGATATATTTCTCTTAGGATAATTCTGAAGAATGCCAACTTACTGGAGTACAAAATGTGCAACTGCATAAAAATAATTAAATGCACTGACTTACTGGCATTGACTGCTATAAACAGATGCTTTCATCGTCTTACCTAAAGAATTTTAAGACATTAAAACCTTACAGCTTTCAAGACATGCACCTTCACTAGAGTTTGACTGAACACTGCTACGCAGCCACTGGAAATAACATGCATTAGGGCTTCTGCCTAACAGGAAATTATGCTGAACCTGAACCAAAGCCCAGTGAATTCAGCATGAGCTTTTTTCCTTCAACTTTAATTGGCACTGAATCAAGCCCTTCGCACACAATCTCCTATTTCTTCAACAGCAACGCAGTGCTTATGACTGTCAAACAAAATTTTCCTTTTCAATATCTATTCAAAAGGAGATTTTGAAAATCATCCCAGGACTTTGTAAAATGAAAATCAGACTTGGTTTTGTGTGATAAATAACAATCTTCAGATGCTTGTTACATTGCAGATGGAGATTTTAGCTGCCATGTTTTCCTTCTAAAAATAACATGCAGTTTTCCAGTAAGCATGCAGTCAACTAGCAATATCAGTGTGCATTTATATCACAAAGAATCATTTCAGATTATACATTTCTACAATCAAATTGGAAAAGCTGTTCATTTTATACATAAGGAAAAATATTTTTAAAATCTTTAAAAACATGACACATCTCAAAGTTCTTTTATGTTTGACAGTGGAGGAAAAAGATCACAGATGAAAATGATAATGAATAGACTATCTAAGAATTAATTGACAATTTTTTAAGTGACGTTGCTGGCAAATCACAAGAATGTAATGTTAAGGTATTTATTGTAAGCCAAGAGGAAAAGATTTATATGCATTATCTCCAAGCCAAAATACAATAAAATCCATTTTCAGGCTTGAAATAAAATACAATTGAAAGGCCATTTGTGACTCCGAGCCCCTATCTCCTTCTTATGTTATAAAATATCCACAAATTTTCCAGCACCATTGTGACCCTTTTCTGTAAAGGGCAGATACTACTTAGTTAGGAATGCACTTGTATGGTTTTTTTAGTCCTGATCCAACTCCTACTGTTGCCAGTGGGATATTTTCTGTTGAATTCAGTGGGAATAAAACAAGAAGGTCCTTAAGTAAAACATAGCAAATGGTTGTTGTTAACATAGATGTATTTCTGACTGCCCCAGTGGCTTACCAGTAAGTTGATGGGACATGAACAGTGTGTTTCTCAAACCAGCTGTAAGGCAGAAAAGCTGAGGTTATTATTTGGATTCCCTGACAAAAAGCTGCAATTGTTTTGTTTATAGGTAAATGTATTCTGGCTATTCCCAGAGTGACCTTGGCAGTCAACTGTGTTGCCCTTAGTGTCAGCAGAAAGAAGGCGATTGGTGTCAGTGGGCTTTGGATCAGGCTTTAGAGACAGAGAAAGCTTGCTTAAGGAGGAAAACAGACATAATGAATAGTCCTGATTTCCCAGGTTTTGTCAGTTAGAGTTTAGAATATCAACAAGACACTTTAAACCCTGAAGAGTAATTGTTGCAAGTCAATTATTTTGACCTTGTATGTTTCTACAATTATATAGCACGATAAAGAAGAACAAATGTCTCTGGCTTACAAAAAAAAAAAGAAAAGGCAAGTACTTTATTTACCAATAGAGATTTTAGTTGTTTTTTACACCATTGCAATGACTAAACAAATAGCATAAAATAAGCAAAGGAGAGTACAAAAATCACTTTATTCCAGCTGGTATCCCAAGACAACCTTTTGACTAAGTACAGAGTTAGATGTTTCAAGTATGGCACTTATATAAATAAGAGCAGAGAGAAGGTGATATATTCACAGTTAAAAGCAATGAACTCTGTTCCTTTGGTATGTGTGTCATCACAGGTGATTGTAGGTAAATACATAACTTGACTGGCATGAGCCAACTCCATCTTATTCATGCACATATTAGGGAATGAACTAAAATGTACTCATATATTTCGCAGATCACAACTCATGTAAGATGATTAAGGTCTCTGGTGTGTTTGTGTGTGTGTGTGTGGACAGGCAAACAAAAAATGGCAAAATTATGTTCAGCATTTATTGTTTATCATAACTAACTGGTGCACAAACTATGATAGAAAATAGCTAGTAATATACACCAGGAATAAACTCTGTGATTTAGACAAGGAAAATAATGTAAGACATCTGTGAGATAGGTGAACGCAGATGTCCTGATTGAGCTGTGGTCGGGTTCCTTACAGTGCAATTACCCTCCTTTTAAAACATGCTTACATCTGCACATTGCAACAATTTCCCCCACCCCATCCCACCCCAGATAGAGTATCCTTGCAGATATTTAATATGAACATTCTACACAGTTACAACAATTAGTCAGACAGTCCAAACCGTAAACTTATCCTAATGACGACCAAAGAGCTGCTCCACCGACAGGTGACAGCCGATCATTAGAAAGAAAAGTAGGAATAATAGTAGCTGTGCTGTAAGGCTAGATCAAGCATGGTTTTATAGCTGGTTTTTCAGTCTTTACATAGCACTGCATTTTGCAGCTAGTTCAGTAAGCGCAGATCCAATACCTTAATGGCTTTCTTGGTGGTTTGATAAAATGCTTGCCTAAGCAATGTACCTTTCCCTAATGGTATCTGGGTCTGTTCCACCTGGCACAGTGTTTCAGTTCTGTCACAGCCTCACACATAAGCTGAGTCACTTGACTGAGTCCTGCCAAAGTTAGGCATGCTCATTCTTGGCAGGTCCTTATTTCTGATTTCGTATATGGATTTCCTTTTTGCCTGTACTCCTCTCACTGCCATTTTGATCTTTCTCCAGCCCAAGTGGTTCAGTTCTGCCAAATTGAGCACCACGCAAATCCCACTGACAGCAAACATGAATACCAAGAATACAGTCTTCTCAGTGGGTCTAGAGACATAGCACTCTACTTCTTTAATGCAAGGGTATCTGTCACATTCGTACATGGAAGGGACATTGAATCCATACAGAAAATACTGTCCCACTAAGAATCCGATCTCTAGGGCATTTCGAAAGACCACTTGGATGATATAAAATCGAGAAATGCCTTCTTGCCTCCTCATCTTTGACTTTGTAGTTCTGATAGCAGGATTGGGGATTTCCTTCACTTCTAAGCAGTCTGGCTCTGCCTCTTTGGTGGAGTTCTCAGTGTTCTGCAGCACCCCATTGACAATTGTGTTCTTGATTTTCTTACTGTCCTCACGCTTCATTGAATCCTGGTCCCTCTCCAAGGTGAGGAAGACAGTGGAGTACCTCCGTTCCCTCTGCTTAGCAGACTGGTGAACAGAGTATGTAATGAAGCAAAGGCTGGGAGTGCACACCATGATGATCTGGAATACCCAGTACCTTATGTGAGAAATAGGGAAAGCCTGGTCGTAACAAGCCTGGTTGCAGCCTGGCTGCAGCGTGTTACACACAAACATCGTTTGCTCGTCATCGTACACGGTCTCCCCTACAATGGCCACAATGAGTATCCTGAAGATCACCACCACGGTCAGCAGGATCCTGCAACAGAGGAAGCCCGTCAGTGCG